CACTGATGATTCCATAATTTACTGAATAGAAGTTATGATAATCTTACTTCACTGAAAACAACAATATTCTGTTTGATAATAATCCCAGATGGTAAAGGAAAAAAATTAGGTCAATTAAAGCATCAAGTTTTATTTATAGATTTTTTTTAATGAAATTCAAATTCAGTTCCAATTTAAATATACTTTATTGATCCCAAATGGAAATTAAATATATTTAAATCAATTTTAAACTTTTGTATTAAATTTGATCTATGGTCCTTTTAGGCTAGAAACATTTATTTAACACATTTCGTTTATGTTTAATTAATGAACCGAGTAGCCCTCTATGGTGTGCTAAGAAATATAACACAAAGATATTTTAAAAGCCACGCAAAAAATATGCTGTGGGTATAAAGAGAGTTAAACTTATGAAATCCAACGCCCCTACGTTTAGTTCATTAGCAGACCTAGCAAGCAGGAGTTGTCCAGCCAATTAAATAAGGATATATCTCATGCTTGAGATACTGGGCTTCCACCTGCATGGGGAGCAGTTTGCTTTTGGTAGATCAATAGTTCCCACTCTGGTCCTGGGAGGCCATTAAACGAACATTTATGTAGCTTACATTTCACATTTTATCTGTGTGTACTTTTCTTCACCAGAATAACATATTTCCATTTGGATGGATTCTTAATGCCTTCAATATCAGAACTACCTACGCTGTCCAACAGAATAAAAAACTGTTTTCTTTTGCCACCAATAACTAAACCTTTACACAGTGATTACATTCTCTAGCCTGTGGATGGTGAGACTGGGACCTCAGCTGCAGCTTACACCTCTGTTAAATCATGGTCATCACTGAAGGTACAGCGAATATGCTCCTCTTGGGTTTCATTATTGGTTAAACAAGTAATTCCTTTTCTCATAACCTAGCTGGAGGTGTTCTCTACAGCAATAGAAGATGTAATTTAAGACTCATCTTTGTGTGATTTTATTGTTGGATGGAAATCGCTTCTGTAATACAGCCCCATTACAAGCTAAATCTTTTTGTTAATACTATAAAGGAGCCCCCTTGAGAGCTGCTCCCCTTGAAAATGATTTATCAGGATTAATATTGGGGATTATGTTCATAATAGTGCAAAAATGATTATTCTAATAACTGCAGGGTGAGTCATTTGGTGGCAGAGGGAAAAATATAATTTTTCATAGGGACAGATTGCTTGTAATGGACAAATTACACACATACATGCACCTGCATGCATGGCTCCACCACACAAACACCTGCTCTGTCACCGCTGCTTTCAAAGATTTATGATATTCAGATATCACAATGGTGTCTGCCACAGATTTTCTTTTTAACCATTAGAACGGTTAGTAAGAGAGCCTGACACTGCGGCTATAACCGCTCTCTGATTATCATATAAATGAGAGGCCTGGGAGTAACACAGTCATCTTAGCACTGGTGATAAATGCATCTTGATTGGTTATTAATTAGCCAGCCAATTAAACTTCCATCTCCATATTCAAATCAGATTATGAAGTGCGGCAGAGAAATTAATCTCATAATTCTGCAGGATGATAAGGTGAAAGTGTCAGATACTCTATTTTGGGGCCATTATTTTCAAACCGTAACTAAAATTCTCTCAGATGTGCCCATATTTTTAAACTATCTGTCTTACAAAATTTCTCCCCAAATATGATTCCTGTCACAATCTTTTCCAGTTTTCTGGTTATTTGACATGTTGTTGCAAATCGTTCTAATTTCTAGGTTTTGCCTGCTTGTTAAACATGTTTAAAGTTGAATAAACTACCATTTATGCTGTACGTAGTTGGTAGTCTAATATACTCAAAGCCGTAAAGTGGATCATTTTGAGATAAATGATTCTCTTTCTCCTTCCTGCGACAGTAAGAGTGATCACTCACCTGCTAAATTTTCAATAGCTGCAGACAAAATCATTCTCATTTCCACTCGAATGGAGACAAATGATGCCTCTCCTGTTTGAGGGGATGTCTGTCTGTGGGCTCTTCCTTCAAATACTAACTCCCTGGATATAAGTAATTTTCATCTGTCAAGGTTTTATTTCAACTTGAGTCCACTTTGATGACAGCTTCCTACTCTGCTAAGGCTTGTGATGGATGCTCCTCCATGTGGAAAGACTGCTGTACCCTCAGACTTGTAAAAGAAGAAAGTCCATCAGTGACAAGAACTTGAAAACGACCCAGTTTTCCCTGTCACTTATCTGATTCTTACTCTAGTATGCAGAGTCAGGCTGAGCTGAGAAAGATCTCTACTCAACATATTAGTGTCTGTAGGAGGAGTGACTCATAACTGAGAAACGTAACTTCTGGATGATGTTAGTTTTGTTTCAGTGTGTACTACTGTTTTTTTTCTTTTTTGTCAAACTGCGGTAATAAAGGAGATACAAAAGTGATGCACAAATTTCACTCAGTGAGATTAGAGGTTTTTGGATGACAATCTTATAGACTTTAAAAAATGATTTGAAATGTCTAAATGTCGTAGTTTCCCAAGATCTGATTCTTAAAAGATCTTATTGTGATTTAACCAAACAATAGGGTCATTCCACATTTTGAACATTACAGCTTTAAACAGGAATTTGTGCCACCAACTAAAGTGGTGAATATTTCTGAAGGATCATACACAGTTTTCATTTAAAAACTGCATTTTGACCCCAACCTGCGTCAATATTGTGTGTTACCATTTTCCACTGAAATAGCCGTGGCAAGTCCTTTACTCTCTCCAGGTTTGTACATCTTAACATAGAGATTCTGTCCCTTTCATATTTATAAATGACATCAGCTTTGCCAAAATGTCTCAGATAAATTTGTAACTGGACCTTTACACGGTTTGTAGCACTTTGCCTTGCAGCAAGAAGGTCCTGAGTATGATTCTGGACCCAGGGTCTGAATGTTCTCCCTGTGCACGTGCAGCTTTTCCCCAGGTACTGTGGCTTCCTTCCACAGTCCAAAAACATGATTGTTGGGTTGATTGACATTTTCACATTGCCCATGGTTTTATTTGTGTGCATTACCCTTCGAGGACTGGTGACTTCTCCAGGGTGTATCCCACCTTTCATCCATAGACTGCTGGAGATAGGCACCAGCCCCCTGTAACTCTGATGGGTAAGCAGCAGAAGATGTATAGATGGCCACTGACATGGAGATGTTAACACTTAAATCTGTTTTGATCTTAGTCATTCATTGTAGCTTTGGTAGCATATTTTATATTGTTTAGCTTCTCCAGTCAGAAGTCGCCTGCAGCCTCTAATCTTATTTTGATTATGCCCATGTATTTATTCAACCATGCAAATATCGCTGACCAGCTTCCCTATCATGGTTAAACAACTCCACCATGTCTTCTTTGGGATGTCAGTTTTTCTGTTTTCAATATTGGTGCTTCCAATTATTGCTTTTTGTGCCACTCTTCCATAAAGAGTAAATTTGTTAAGACTACTGGTGCATGTTCTGTCAGGACCTTCTCCTTTCTGAACAATGCATGTTTGCAGGTTCAGTGCTACTTTGGGCCTCTTGGCTGATTCGTTAATGAAAGCTCCCCTTGCCCAACCTTTATGATTTGGTAAAGAGACATGGCTTTAGTGTTATTATACTTCCCTAATTTTTTGATGATTGATCAATCAATGCCTGCTATACATTTTTCTGCAACTTTTCCCCTATGTCTATTGTAGTCCTTGGTCCTGATGGTGCTGTTTGTTCACTAGTATTGTTTAATAAACATTTGGATTTGTGTTTGAATCAGGGAAAAGCGAAAAATTTACTAATTAGATGACTTCTAAAGGGAGATTGCTGCTCTACATCTGTTTTAGGAATATCAGAGAAAAAAAATGCATGGCACACTTTTCAGATTTTTATTTGCAATTCTAGCTGCTGTATGTGCTTTGATAAAACTTAAGAGTAAATGCCAAGTGTCATTAGGAACATAAATTTCTAAGGCAATACCGTCCACTGTTTTGTTATCAATGTTTGACAGATTTAGTTTTGTTCATTCATGTTTGCATAATGGTCCTTGTAAAGATAGAGACTCTACAGTAGTACCACACACAAACAGCCACCCACACAGGGTAAAGAGCAATGTACTGATTCTGTCTCCAGCTTCAGGGCTTCATGTCCATCAGTGTCTCTATCAGACTTTTTTGTCATCCACAGTCATGAGCTCATAGCATCCAGTGTAGACTTGCATTAAGTAGGCCATCAAGTTTTCCCTCCAACCTCTCCAAACATACAGACACAGAGACACACTCACACACCTCGGGTCAGTGACTCATGGTTTCTATACAACTCTTTATTTTATTATGTATTTCAAACTCATGGTTCATCTTTTAGACCGCAGGATGAAAAAAATAAAAACTAATCATCCATTTTGCCTACAGAAAAAAAAACCCTCATATAGACATTACTCATGTCGATTTTATATCAGCCTTGCACTATAATGCCTCCGGTCAGAGAAAAATCATATTTGTCTTTTTTGTTGTTTTTTTTAATAATTTGTTTTCACTGTGATCTAGAACATTTCCTGCTTTGCACATTTTGGGAACCTTAAAGTTTTAACACGTTTTGTCTTAGAATAGGAAATGAATAAGTTTCCGTACTCTATTAACATGTGCTATTTTTACTAGAACATGAGCTTGCAGTTGTGCTTTAAGTATGGACTAAGTCATCAAACAATCTTTTAGAAACTTAAATATAAATAAACCTTTGAATTCCATTAGATCATTTTTAGGCTACATTTGGCAGATCAAAGTTTTCTATTTTGGTAGGATTAATTCATTCCTCTTATTTTAAACCATGTACAGCCCAAGCAATTCTTTTTTTGTTTGTTTTGTTTTGAAGATAGGAGGAAACTTATAATTTGTTGCCTTTACTGTAAAATCAAGTAAAATGTTCTTATTTATTAATAGAAATGAGCTGACATGTAGAACCAATCTTATGACTTCACTGACTCTGTTCTTCATGTGTTATAGTCACTGATGATGTTCTTCTCCTCTAGGATGGTACAGAGGATTCTCAACAAGGAAGCCGAATGTCAAGGTAAGATTCTGCTCAGTAACTTTCTTTTCAGCAGAATATAGTTGTTTTTTTATACCCTACAAACTTTTTCTTTCTTTATTGTAAGATTGCTGATGAAGTTACCTCAGCTCTTTTCATTTTCTAACGAAGATTATACTGTATGAGCCATAACTCTGTACTCAGTGCTTCCTATAGATCAGGGGTCGGCAACCCAAACTGTTCAAAGACAAAAAACTGTCTGGAACTGCAAAATATTTAAAAGTCTTATATAAGCCTCCTGTTAGCCCGCTATAAAAACGACTATGTGGGCTTAAATATATAATTAGCATTCTTGATTAAATGTTTATCCTTGAGCAAATGTCACATCATGTGACTGCTCTGCTGTTCAATATTTGGTGCTTTAAGATTAAATTCTATTACAATATTAATGTATAGTTTTGTTGCATTGATGAAATTAAAGAAACACAATAAAGAAATCATATTTTTGTTTTTATGTTTATTTTGAGGATTTGGGAAAATAAAATGGAAGAAAGTTCACATACCTGCATGAGAGCATTACCTATTAGATCTGTGAAAGGTCTTCCATGCTCGCACAAAACTTGCAGCAATAGTGGAGTTCGGAGATGCAATCCACTTCTTAAATCTATCTGTAATTTATCCAGAAGAACTGCAATCATACTTTTCCCTCACTCCCAACTGCCTTCCCATGAAATGCCTTTCAAAATGACTTTTTATTATTTGGCAACTTCCCGTTACAAACCAAACACGCAGGCAATCCTTCTGCATTGGTAATGAAAGCAAATGATTCGGTCCATTCTTCTTTGAATCCTCAGTTCTCATCAGCTGTCTTCCTTTTTTCCTTTGGCATCCATGGCCCGAGATTCAGCCACAGCTCAACATCCCCCTGCTTGGCACTGCGACACGCTAGAACCTAGGCTGCAGGCTATGATGCAAATCTTCATTGACAGAAAAGTTCACATTTACTTTTTCAGTTTATTTATTATTAAAAAAATGACAGCATTGGAAAACATAATTTATGTTTGTTTGACCTCCAAGCAAAGAAAATCTATCTTTTTCTATTTTCATTCATTAGGGAGCCACAAGGGGGGCATTAAAGAGGCTCTGCAGCTGCAGGTTGCCGACCCCTGCTTTAGACCATGAAATTAATAGATTCTTTAAATTTGCAGGATGAAGTCCTTTATCATATTTTAAGAACTGTGATACAAAAAACAAAAACAACTGTAACAATTCAGTTCTGCATCCAGAAAACATTTAAAAAAAATCAAGTATTAATGATAATTAATAAAAGAGATAGAATTGCAGCTTGTGTTTTTTCCTTAAGCAAAGGAAAAATAGCTAAAACAACGTGTTCATTGTTTTGATTCTACTCCTGCATCAATGCCATCAATGCTGGCACTGTGATAATAATGACCCTAGGCATCTCCTACTTCTGAAGGACACATGCATTTCTATTTTTTTTTTTCTGTCTAGGTTGTAAGCAATCTGTTCAAATTTAAAGGGGCATATTCTGGTTATTTGACTTTTCAAATGTAGACACCATTACCTCACTCTGGTTGTTACATTTTTAACTGCTGCATCCTGCTGGTATATATTATTAATAACTTTTTTAATTTATACTTTATTTTGCTCTGTTTGTTAGTAAACAGCCTTAGAGGAATAGTACACCCAAAACATGATTAGCCTTCATTTTCTACTCACCCCCATGCTGAACAACACTCTGGAGTACTTTTTTGATATCTTAAGTGCATCTGGAGATCTGGGAGGCTTCTTACTGTCTGCTGACATTCAAATAATGGAGGTCTATGGTGCCCGAGGCAGAAAGGTCCATAAAAGTCCACAAAAAACGTGTCAATATTCCTCCATACTGCTCGTCCAATGTATTCCAAGTGTCCTGAGTGGGTAGCGTCCATAATTTACTCGAAACGAAGTCATTTAGAATGTTTTTAGAGCATAAACAGTAGTGTATAGGATTTCCTAAAAGCGCGCGCCTGCGAGTTCACGAGCCTACGGAAACCGCGGCAGACCAAACCAGACGAAAATGCGCATTCAGCTCGGCAAAGAACTCATGCTCTTCCTCAACACTGAAGTCCTCAGACATTTTTCTTTCGTTGTTTCTTTCTTTGCACAGGTAAACAGCACATTTCTTCTTCTACGCTTGCATTATCAAGAGCAGAGGCTGAATGCGCACTTTCATCTGGTTTGGTCTGCCACAGTTTCCGTAGGCTCGTGAACTCGCATGCGCGCGCTTTTAGGAAATCCTATACACTACTGTTTATGCTCTAAAAACATTCTAAATGACTTTGTTTAGAGTAAAGTATTGACACTACCAACTCAGGACACTTGGAATACATTGGACGAGCAGTATGGAGGAATATTGACACGTTTTTTGTGGACTTTTATGGACCTTTCTGTCTCGGGCACCGTAGACCTCCATTATTTGAATGTCAGCAGACAGCAAGAAGCCTCCCAGATCTCCAGATGCATTTGAGATATCAAAAAAGTACTCCAGAGTGTTGTTCAGCATGGGGGTGAGTAGAAAATGAAGGCTAATCATGTTTTGGGTTTACTATTCCTTTAAGTATATTTAGAATAACAACATAGGTATGATACTGCACATGTGCTCAATCAATAATACAGATAGCACTTTACTGAGACCAGTGATACCAAGGCTATGCATAGCCTCTGCAGTCAATGGACATTATACATGATAGATAGATAGATAGATAGATAGATAGATAGAGTTAAATTGTTTAAATTTGATTGAATTCAGGGCTGATCAACAAGGCACTTAGCATTAGAAACGCATTTTAATGTGTTCCATTTGCACTCATTCCAATAAAGAGCTTCTAGCTTAAGACGTTTTTTTTTTTTTTTTTTTTTTTATGTGATTAAAACATTTCTCACCTTGATGCTGCATTCCACACCGAGCTGCCTCTTCACCACAAAGCATTGCAGGACTGCTAGGCTTTATTAAGTAATTGAGTACTGTGAGCAGATGCTCATCACACCCACTGCAAGAATACTGTTTAGGTGGAAATAGAGATCAAAACACTACCAGGACAGAGTTGGTTAATATCATGATCATATGGTTTTTGGCCTTTTTTTGTACAGACGTATAACATGTCTATGTCTAAGCTTTAAGCATCCATCTTTTTATGTTTACATTTAATGAAGAACATTTCTGTTTTATTCTTGACATGCTTTCATCATCACTGTGACTTAGGTACTGTATTGACTTTGAGTGCTTTCAGAAATTATGTGACCTTGAATTTAAGGCTGCACAGACGTGCTTCGTCTGCAGACATTTGCAGTGATAATGTATCATTTAGGCTGCCGCTTTATGACATGCTGCTCTTTCATGGTTAATTTGATGTAAAATAAAGAGAAAATGACGGAATCCAAGGCCCGCAGTGATAAGCAGGAATGTGAGAGGGAAAAAAATCTGCATCCATGTGGAAATTAAGATCTCAATCATCAAGGGAATATCAGCTAAAAATGGTCCATCAAAAGTTTTCTGCTTTGGGCGATGTCCTGGAGTTTATTACAGCAAGGTCAATAAGATTACATTACACAGGGATAATAGAGGCAAAAACGTTAAGCTTAGGTTTCCTCATACTGAAAGATCAGAAATGTTTATCATTGTGGGGGACAACACAGCAAATAACCTACTAACTGCAGCTGAAGCCTAAAAGAATAAAAGGTGGATGAAAACATGTATAAAACGTTTTTGCTTTATCATTTTTATCCTGGGATTAAATGAATTAAGTGGAAAAAACTATAAAAATAAGGACATTAAAACAATACATGTAAACAGAACAACCTTAATAATACTGATTATTTAAGATGAGAGAAAAAGGTTTTCATTACAAGAAAGGCTTTGGTTCAAAGTGTCATGAACGGGACAGATGCACCCAGTATTTAAGGTGAGACAGCCAGTAGAAAAGTTCAAAAAGTTTGTTAAAATAAAAACAGAAACAGACAGAACAGAAGCGCTGAGCTGATATGGATCTGCGGACCTGCAGTGACTGCAGGAGGGAGGACGGGGCACTGCCCAATCAATTACACTCTGGTTTAACAGTTCTGTCCATCCTCTCAATAATAGGCAGGATCAGCCGATGCACGGCCAACGAGATGAGGCTCTGATGCAGTAACCTGATTTAGCAGGCAGGACTCCGATCCAGGACAGGGATTCAGATCAGACTGGAGTAGTTCTGGAATCCAGGAGTCTGCAGTCCCGTCAGGGGTTCCAATCCACACAGGAACAAACAGATGCGGTTCCAGGAATCCAATACAGCGTAAAGGCAGGTTCAGAGTCCCGTGCATCGAGCAACCAGCTTAGACAAAAACACACAGACAGGCAGAATCCAACAGAGGTCCAACCGTGGTTCAGGCAAACAGATCAGATGGGTACAGACAGGGCCAGTGTGTGAGAGGGAATGGAATAAGGAGATCAGAATCACTAGGGAAACGCTGAAACGCTCTCACCACTGGTTAGGGAATAAACTTGCCTGAAGACACTGGCTCCAGAATAATCTCCTCACTGGAACGGGGACATGAACCTTGGACTAACTAAAACTTCAGACATCTAACAGAGAACAAACAAACAGCAAACAATGATCTGGCCTCGATAGCTGGGCTGGACCGAATATAAAGCAGAACCTACAGGTGGATGAGACCAGAGATGATTAGGAACTGGGCAGAACTATGCAGGTGAGCGAAATGAGCAATTAATGCCAGCTATCAGAGCAGATCATCACAAAATCCTCCAAGCAAAATCAGACGAGGGGGAGAAAATGCTGAAAGGAAGCACAACTCTGTCTGAACTTCATTGTTTAAAGATAATTTTGAAGCTTGACTGAGGGAACATGGAATGTACACATTTTTTAGTTTAGAAGTCATAGATGTGGTGCATCTTTGAGCAGCCTTTTCTAAAACACATTAGTGGGATTTATAGTCACACTTCTCTTGCTCTTGTTGCAGCAGTACTGACCTCTAGTCGT